TAATCAAAGTTCCAACAAACCTAACAATAGGACATCTAATGTTGAAGTACTTATTCATCATTTCTTTAAAATATGTCAATAGTTTTTTTTTATTACACAAAAATTCTAATTTGACACTGTGTTTTTTTTTGTCTCAAATTTGACATTGTGTTTTCTAATTTTTTACAAATCTGACCACTTGACCGGTCAACCCGGTTATCTGCTGACGTGACAGTTTTTGATGACGTGACATACTGAAGTGTCAAAATTGAATTTTTTTTCCCCACAAAAGACACTAAGTTTTCATTTTTTTCGATTTTGACACAAAGTTTAATTTATGTTTTCAATTTTAACACTCTGTTTTTTGTTTCAAATCGAACATCAACTTTTTCAATTTTGTTCAATGTTGACATTTTTCCATTTGAAACCGTATAAATATGTTTTTTTATTACATTTTAAATTGTATAAATATATTTTTTTCATTTAAAAACCACATTTTTATATAAATACAAGGTTTTTCTATTACATTCAAAGCATATGGTATGCATAAATATGCATTAGTTATATCATAATAACCAAACTAACCATAAGTTTCAAATAAGATTAACAAAATTTATCAATTATCGTTTATGAAATATTATTTATTTTATTTTTTGTTGTAAATTTTACACATTTTTTTTATTTACAGTTAACTAATTTTATTAGGTATATATTGATGTCGCATCTAACGTTCGTTTGAAGCGTTGAAAAGAGGTAGGAAATATAGAACAAAATACCAAAATTTGAGAATACTAAATAGATGTAATAATGACGATATTTATCCTTCATAAATATTTATGAAAAAAATGAGCTAAAAAATATTATTTAATGAGAGTCACACCATGAAATTCAAACTTGATATTTGGGTCTTGATCGACTACACGCCTCCAAACTTCCAAGCACATTTTAAAGTTGCGTATTTAATATAAAATATGGTTATGATATAACTAATGTATATTTATGCATAGCATTATGCTTTGAATGTAAAAAAAACCTTGTATTTATATAAAAAAATGTGGTTTTTAAATGAAAAAAGGTAAATTTATACGGTTTACAATGTAATAAAAAAAATATTTATATGGAAAATGGTCAACATTTAACAAAATGGAAAAAATGATGTTCGATTTGGAATAAAAAACAGAGTGTCAAAATTGAAAAAAATTAAACCTAATGTCAAAATCAAAAAAAATGAAAACTTAGTGTCTTTTGTGGGAAAAAAAATTCAATTTTGACAAGTCAGCATGTCATGTCATCAAAACTGGCACGTCATCATGACACGTCAGCAGGTAACCGGGTTGACCGGTCACGTGGTCAGAATTTTAAAAAAATTAGAAAACACAGTGTCAAATTTGAGACGAAAAAAAACACAGTGTTAAATTAAAATTTTGGTGTAAATTTAGTGTCTTTTGTACGACTTACCATTTTATTTATTCTGAAAGTTTACTTTAAAAATGTTTAATGTTTAGACATTTATATTTAATTTTTTTAATAAAATTCGTATAATATACGGATCTTACAACAACTAAGCAATAAAACTCCTAAAACAATCCCAAATATGCATTTTAACATGTGGCGGACCTTAGTGGGAGGCCGAGCTAGCCCGTGTTACTTCTTAAATTTTTTGACGTAGTGAAATTATTTTGAGAAAATTTTTATTGTGGAGCATTTTTCAGGACCAACCACCGATCTACAATCATAACTCATAAGTACAAAGCTTCATAAATTATCTGTTTAAAGTGTCTCTAAACTCACAATATTAAATATTAAAATTTTCATTTACCAATTTTTCTAATTGATGTATGTATCCATACAGATTTTTTCACCATATTATACTTAATTATAAAATTTAACAAAACAATCAAAGGACGGGAAGCACAAAATTCATGGGAGCATCTTTAGATCGATCATTATATAAAAGGTAAACAACTTTTATCTGTTTTAGCATCGACTGGTCTTTTTCACCAAAGATAGAAAGAGGCTCAGATTCCAATTTCCGATTGAATTGGAATTAAATATTTGGCTTTGAATCCTTGTTTTGTTTCCCTGCTCTTCCTTTTGTTTACCTCTTTGTCTCTTGTTTTGTTCTTTTTGTTCACTCCACAGCCTCATTGACAACTCTTAATATATATTTTCCATATCTTTTCTATTTAATACTTTAATCATCTCTGACTTTTTCTTATTATTGCCTTCGTTTTTTTCTATTTTGGGATTTCATGTGAAAACTACGCCATGCATCTTTTATCTTTTTCACTTAAACATTATTTGTTTGTTAATTAGCATTGTTACAAAAAACTAGAATACTAGATGTGCTAATGTAAGTATATAGTCATATCGAATTTACTTTATTTACTTGAAGCATAATCTATAAAAACCATACCCAACTAAAATAAGACGTTGTACTCGGTCCAAAAATTGGTTATTTGGTTTGTGGCATGGTTGAGTTGGAAATGGTCCCAACTTGATTATTTACTTAAGTTTTTGCTTATGATGTTTAGTTAGGAAATTAGACTCTTCTTGATTCTCGTATTGTGCATTTTTAGTTATGATTCATTCCAACCTGGTTTTTGAGTGTTTGAGTGTTATATAGACTAAGACTGTTAACCAGACTAAGACTGTTAATCGCTAAATAATCGAAACCAAAAATACAAAATTGACGTGGATCGGTTCGGTATAACTTTGATTTCAAATCTAATTTAATCAGAGATAATCTAAGCTTGTTATAATTTTAAATATGTGAAATGATAAAGATGTCATTTCAAGTTTAAAAAAAATGTTTAGTCTTAATCGATCTAACCTTGGGTGATGGGTCTAAAGTCTAAACATATCTCATAAATATAGTGGTGTTTAAAACATATTTGTGAAGTTCAATCACACACATGCACACCCACACACATGGAGGGTTTTTTTTTTCTTTTTAATAATTAACCCTTTAGATGCCCATAAATATTTATATTTCAGGAAAAAAAAAAAAAAACAAGCCTAGTGAATCCGAGAAATCCAGAAAAGGGTGACTAGATATTGAAGGCATTTTGTCCCGTGGGATTTTGTAGGGGCCAAAATCTGAGCACTTTTGAATTGAAAGCAACTTAACCATGATCATTAGTTTTCTTCTTTTGGTTGGATCTTAACCAACATTATTCTTCTTGTGTCGAATGCATTTTTGTTTTATCCTTCTTTTATACAATAAAACTACTATATGTTATCCTCTCAAAATATTATATATAACTTTTCAAAGTTTTTAAGAGTTTTGTTTAATCGTTTTTAAGAGAAAAAAACTCAAATTAAAGATGGAAGCACAGGTTTAAAGTTTTATTTTAAATAAAAAACTTATAATTCAAAAGTTTTATCAAGTATTTTTTTGAAGGTTTTTTAAAGTTATATATATTATGTTATATATCAAATTACATCTTCGAGAAGTTTATAACTATTTTACCAAATATTTATATACAAATAAAACTTCAGCTATCACCTATCATTTAGTTTTGTTAAACACATCTCATATATATTTATGTTTGGTAGGTCTTATAATTTGTAAATAATTAGTTTTTGACCCGAAAATAATAGGATAAACAAAATGTCTAGGAACATAATTTAGTAGCTCATCATGTTGTGGTTGATATCAAATTATCAATGCTTGGGAATCCCAACTTGCTCTTTGTTCCTCATGGGTCAACCGTGAATGTTATTTAGTGGATCATTATGTTATTGATATGCCTTTCTGTTTTTTATGTAAATTTTTGTAGTGGTGTAAGCTTTTGGACATTTGTTATTTTCATAGTAAGGGATAATATTGTAATATACATTTGTTTACATTAAAGAAAAAGGAATATAAATATCTCCAAACGATCGTAATCCCCATTTTCACCTCAACGGATCAAAAACAAAGCGTTGGAACCTGAAACAACGTAATGAAAAACAACAACAAAAGAACAATATATTCACTTTCCCCATAAACAAAGAAATTGACTATTTTCATTATTTGAGGATTTTAATCTCTCTCTCTCTCTCTCTCTCTCTCTCCTCTCTCTCTCTCTCTCTCTCTCTCTCTCTCTCTATATATATATATATATATATATATATATATATATATATATATATATTAAAATCATCTTATTTTTTTTTAGAAAATGCGAATAAATATATAACATGCACCCAACTAACAAGTAACTAGCCGAGGCAAAGATTAAAAAAAAAAAATCAAATAAGACAAGTATTTTCACAAACATTACAAAATGTAGGAGTCAAGGGCGCGCGACACTTGCAGTCAAAGAGGACAGCCAATCTATAAAACTTTAAAGTTCAAATACAGTGGAAAAAACATGTTTGCCGTTAAACATATTTAAAGTCAAAAATATGTATTTTTACCAAGTAAAAATCTATTTGATTTAGAAATAATCTGTTAATAGTTAATACTTAATACTACAAAAAGTTTGAAAAACAATTATAACTTGTTTAAAATCTCTAAAACATAAATTGTTATGTACCAAAAAAATTGTTGTATACGAATTATTTTTTATTTTTAAACTCAGATGTTTTGTCTGCATGTATGATAATGTTGGATGTTAATTTTGAAATATACATCTATCCAAAATGACAACTTCACGTCTACTGACTCTTGTCTCAACACAAATCTAACAATTCAATATAAACTTAATCGAGTTGCGAAATTTAACATTCCGGACATAATTTCTGGAAATTACTAAAATATTGGTTATTTAAAGAAATATGTTAACATTTATGATGTTCATTCTTTTGATAATCCTTGCATATAAATGATAAAATGAACTTAACCCTATTTATTAAATGTAAAACACACCCTAAGAAATTGTCACTGTTCTCTCACGCCCCATTGGAATTTTGTGGGTTGTCATTTCCTCCATGTCCCATCGATACCCTTCTTCCTCCTACAAATACCCACCACCCCCAAATCCCAATCTCCGAAAACCCACAACTGTTTACTTTTCCTTCCTAATTAATCATCAATGTCGCAGATTCATGACAATGACGATATACAGAGAGAAACCAAGAAGCAGAAGCAGTGTTTTCTCATAAATGATCACGTCGATTTGTTGATAGAGGTGTTGCAGAGGCTCGACGGACGGTCGTTGGGCGCGGCGGCGTGTGTGTGTCGCCAATGGTGTTCAATCGTCCGGAACGACTCGTTATGGGAAAATCTATGCTTCCGACATGTGTCGCCGCCGTCGGTTGGAGTTAGGTCGGTGGTTTTGGCTCTGGGTGGGTACCGGAGAATGTACATGGTGTGTGTTCGACCGGTGGCGAGTCGACTGAAGAGGAGGAGATTCTTTAGCGGCGAGTCGGAGGTGGTCCGGCGAGTGTGGAGCCGGCATGAGGTGGAGCTTTCGCTGTCGTTATTTTGTGTGGAGTATTACGAGAGACTGTTGGGTGGTGGCGGAGGGGTGGTCAGCGGTGAGTCGCCGGCGAAGTCGCTCAAGTTTCTATGCAAGGCCGTGAACGTTAGCTTCTGACTGTTATGAGGAATGGCTTCGTAAGAAAATACTACACAAACGACGGAGTCAGATTTTGATGTTACATTTTTGTTCTTATATATTTGTTGCAATTCTTAATAAATTATTATTCGAACAACTTATAAAAAGTACTAACAGTTCTTTCTATTTTTGGTTGTGGTCTAATCTTAATCCAGAATCTTGTAATCTCATTTATTGATTCCAGAGTAAATTACAAAAATGTTGCTTTTGGTTGGCACTTGCATTTTGAGTCCATGTTTAACATTTTGAGGTTATGGTCATTATAGTTGGTAAAAATTGCACTTGTGGTAAAAACTGTATTGGTTGTCCTACGCTAATGTTTTACGTTTTACCAACAAACATCTCCTTAATGGGTTATTTTGAGTCTATTTTATGGGACAACCAAAAGTATTTTCTTATAATTAAAGTGTATATTTCTTACCGGGGAAAATGACTCTTGAGGGTAATTAACTTTTGCGTTTGTACTCATTTAGTCCCTTTCCTTTTTTTTTGTATTCAATATACCATCGAACTTGTTGTTTGCGTTTACCATAATCCTTTTGACCGGCTTTTGACCTGTGATAGTCGGTCAAAGGGTTATGGTGAACAAAAACAACAAGTTCGATGGTATATTGAGTACAAAAAAAAGGAAAGGGACCAAATGAGAACGAACTCAACAGTTGGTTACCCTCCTGAGTCATTTTCCCCAAAAAAGTTAAATGAAATTAAAGTTGTAAAATTATCAAAAACTGTAACCTTCTTTGGCTATAACGTATATGAAGAGCGTTTCAAAGGGGTAACCTCGTTAAAACATGGTCTATGCTATGTTTACTGTAGTTAGCTGTCAACACCTCTCTGCAAAAGGATATGATTGTGTATGAGAGGTATATTTATCAGCATAAACGTTTACCTCAAGGTATATTATGGTGATGTGTCTACAAAAGCAGCATGATATTGTACATATTGATGTTGTATCTTATCCCATGAATTCGATCTTAAAGCTAAGTAAACTCAAAAATCATAGCACTTGTGATTCCACTCGTTTGTAGACTTGTCTAGAATCCATGATACGATAAATCATTTGATTGGAAATGTAAATGTAGTCATGAAATGCGCCTGCTTAGTCAAGATTCCCCTGATAAATATATAAGTGCATTACAAAGTTGTACATGTATGAATAATGTTCTCTCATTGGTTATGTTTTGAAGAGAAGCAAGAATGAATATCATAAAGTCATTAATATCAGTATGAGATGACGTGAGATTTGTTGTAAATGAGTAAAGGGAAAATGAATCACGAGGGTAACCAACTGTTGCATTTGTTCTCATTTTGTCCCTTTCCTTTTTTTGTACTCAATATACCATCGAACTTGTTGTTTATGTTCACCATAACCCTTTGACCGACTATCACAGGTCAAAAGCCGGTCAAAAGGGTTATGGTGAACACAAACAACAAGTTTGATGGTATATTGAATACAAAAAAAAAGGAAAATGACCAAATGAGTACAAACGCAAAAGTTAATTACCCTCAAAAGTCATTTCCCTTCTTACTGATATGTCAGATTCTAACAGTTTTTTGGATTTAAAAAAAAAAAATCCAAGTCTCATTTACAAGTTTAAAATCATATAAATAATTTCGAAATTTCAAGAAAAATACTTTTTTTTTAATTGAAATGGAATAGAAGTTCAAAAAAAAAAATAGCAAATATAGTGATATTTGAACGACTATAGTGATATTTGAAACTCCAAAATAAACATTTCAGATATGAATAGAGGGAGCTTTTGAAAAAACTTTTCATGCAAATGAGAAAAAAAATCACACATTATCTATTTTTTTTATTAGTCTGGAATAGGGATGAGAGTGGGTCCAAACCCGGACCCGGAAAACCCGGGAACCAGTTAACGAGATTTTTTAGGACCGGAAACCGGATTGGTATATAGGAACCGGTTCCGGGTAAGGTACCGGGTAAAGTGGGTCTAGAACCGGAAAACCCGAAAATATCAAAGTGGGTCGAATGGAACCGGGTAAAGTGGGTCTAAAACCGAAAAACCCGGGGAACCGGGTAAAGTGGGTCGAATGCATGTTTTAAAATTTCACAACATATAAAAATAAAGCTGAGAAAAAAAAAAGAAAATTCGCAGCTTTGATATCCCAACTTTGGGAGACTATAAATCAATGAATATGAAACCAAAAATGACAAAATTATAGTCTAAAATCATGTACAAACTCTATACTACACTTTGGAAAAAACCACATGCTATTCCGACTTCAAACGAATTAGATATGCATGTTTTAAATCTATCACAAAATACAAAGAAAGCTGAAAAACATAAAATTTTCAGCTTTGATATCCCGACTTTGAGAGACTATAAGTCAATGAATAAACACCCAAAAATAACAAAATTATAGTCTAAAATCATTTACAAACTATAAACTACACTCTGGAAAAAACCTCATGCCAATCCGACTTCAAACGAATGAGATATGCATGTTTTAAAACTATCACAGAATATAAAAAAAGCTGGAAAACATAAAATTTCTAGCTTTGATATCCCGACTTTGAGAGACTATAAGTCAATGAATATAAACCCAAAAATGATAAAATTATAGTCTAAAATCATGTACAAATTATAAACTATACTATGGAAAAAACTTCATGCCAATCCGACTTTAAACGAATGAGATATGCATGTTTTAAAACTATCACAGAATACAAAAAAAAAAGCTGAAAAACATAAAATTTCCAGCTTTGATATCCCAACTTTGAGAGACTATAAGTCAATGAATATAAACCCAAAAATGACAAAATTATAGTCTAAAATCATGTTAAAATTATAAACTATAACATGGAAAAAACCTCATGCCAATCCGAATTCAAACGAATGAGATATGCATGTTTTAAACTTTTCATAGAAACCGGTTCCGGTTCCGGCCCCTAAAACCGGTTCCGGTTCCTAACACGGTTCCGGTTCTTAAACCCGGTTTACCCGGACCCGAAGGACCCGAAACCCAGATAGATTCATTCTTTAAACCCAGGACCCGGACCGGTTTTACATATCCCGGTTCTAACGATTCCGGTTCGGGTCCGGTTTTCCGGTTCTAAATCTCATCCCTAGTCTGGAATCACTCATATATAACAAAATGGTTATATTTGCAAAAATATAGAACAAAATGGTTATTTTTGCAAGAACACAAAAAACTTAGGCGTTTTCGTTAAAGCATTATTATTAAGGGTTAAATAAATATAAGGATATTAATTAAGCTAACAATTATAAAAAGGAAAATTGATTAATCTAACCAATTTTTAATGGTATTTTAATAATAATAACCATTTTTCTAAAAAATTAGCCACTAGGTTTGGAATTGGTCATTCCAAACCCGAAAACCGGTCCAAGCCCAATATTATAGCACAATGGTGTGTGTATATATATATATATATATATATATATAAAATAGGTAAGGGTTATATGGAAAACAAAAAACCCTAAAAATCATAAAAATGCATAAAAAAAATACTTGGAGATCACAAAACTTTTTTTTTAATTTTTTTTGAAAAAATCGCACCTTTTAAATTTTTTTTTATAAAAAAAATTTTGATTTTTGATTTTTTTGTCAGCGAAATTTAAAAAAAACTGCGATTTTTTATGTGTAAAGTCAAAAAAAAAAGTTTTGTGATGTCTAGGTATTTTTTTATGCATTTTTATGATTTTTAGGGTTTTTTGTTTTCCATATAACCCTTACCTATTATATATATATATATATATATATATATATATATATATATATGGGTCTCACACATAAAAATCTAAAATATGTGTTCCAGAATTTGCAAATCCGAAGCACAATCTACCTCCATTTCGGACATAACTTTCATTATGGATTCGTCAAACCAAGTAAGTTATACTCTTTAAGTTACTTTGCATTTGATTTTATATACGGATTTACGTATTTCGGAATGGTCCAAAATACGAGGAACGACTCCAAAATACTATGATCGAATCCAGATTATCCTTTTTTATGTTTTTCTCGTTGTACGTGTATGAATCTCATGTAAGTATCTTGTAGTGTGTTTCAGATCTGTTTTTTTAGTCTGGAAGTAGGTTTTTTAGGGATTCCGGAATGGTACATTAAGTCCGGAACACGAAGAACGTGGTCCGGAACCCGATGAACTATTCTGAAATGATGTTACGGGATATCAATCCAGAATAACTGTACTTATCATTTTCTTCAAAATATTGTATAATAATTCATGTTAGTCCAAAGACGAGTTTGCGTGGATGTTGTTAGAAAAAGTGGGTTTTACGGATGACGAAGTTATATTCCATTTATAAGAGCTTTCAGAATTGTGTCCGATAAAGGTAAAATCAAAAAACAAAAATTCATCATTTTAATTTATTTTTATGGTAATATATTATAATGTTCTTGGAATTTTGGTTTTGTAGATAAAAAACCAAGATGTTGAATTACAAAATAAACCAGCAAAGATACCTATTAAATTAAGAAAAAAAATCAGAAAGGGTGTTAAAACTTAAACTGAAAGCATATAGAACTCTGAAAGATGGGACCGGAGCAAGTGCAAACAAACCTGTTATGATAGACTATTTGCAAATATGTTTTTTTTTGTTATGGATATGTTTCAGCAAGTTGGTTTTATAATTATTAGATACTTTTATGCATATTGGTTTTTAATGAGTAAATTAATATATTTTATTTTCAGTCTCAAACATCCAGTAACTCGAACGATAAGGATGAGTTGTCAATAGAATATGTTATACCATTTCTTGAAGATGAGCAACAACGGCTTGTTAATACGACTGCATTAGAAATGATTTGTGATTATCAACGTGCGAAACAAACGAATGGTAATACTGGAAATCTCATTACCACCTTCAGTGGATGAGGAGTGGAGAAAAGAAGCATTGTATAACATGCAAATGATCCTCATTACCATGTCTGAAGATATACGACAATTTGTGAACACAGTGGACATCATTGAAGAA